CGGGTCCTACAGGCTTTCGTGCAGCCTCTGGGGTCTCCGTGCTGGCAGATTTTTAAGAAGTTACTCTTGGAGTAATAAATCAAAAGGAAGCAAAAGGTGCCTGAATGTTAGAAATGCAGAACTATTTAATGGAGACACATTACAGCTGCTTTGATTTGGTTGTGTTTTCAACATCGTCCAGGATCTACTTTTCCTCTCTTTTCAGAAAAAAATGAAGAAAAAATAAATGTAGAAAAATACACTAAAGCCTCCATTTTTCATTACGCTGAAAAAAAATCATGAAAATAATTTCTTCTTTTTTTTTAGTACTAAGCTGTTGCACCTGCCTCCACACACACAGTAATTTATTTCCTCCCCTGAGATAATTGTACATTCTGTTCCCATATTTTCATGGAATACTTTGGGTACTTGCAGCATAGCAAGTAGGCAAATTTGATTCATGCCTAAGTATGCAGTGATCGAAAACAAACTGTTCTCAGCTTAAAGATAGATTCTAGTTTATTTAGCTCATTTTTTTTTCCAAAAATGTGGACAGTGGCAGGATCCAGCTGTTCAGAAGGAAAATACCAGTGATGATCTATGTCCCGGAGAGTTATTCTAATCTTCTTGCCAAGAGTTCCCCACACATACTGATTTCTAACAATATGAGCAATTATTTCATTTTAGTTATCAGGTTAAGGTATGTTATTTCTTGGATCTGTCCGATTAACTTTATGATTAAAAAGCGAGAGCCCGCTAATTCCTTATCCTTTTGTTATTGGTGTGATAGGAAAGCTTGTATCAAGAATAAATCAAGTCTACATGTAGAGTTAATTTCCACATCAGCATTATCTATTTAGGCACTCATTCTCATTCATGCTAAGGAAAAAATAATTCTTACGAAGTCAGAAAATTAAAGAAATTCATCGGCATATCTTCATGTAATCAGGAAAGGTTTGGAATGAGAGGAAAACACAGTAGTACAGATCTAAGATTACCTTCTCCAGATATTAAATTTCCAATGTACTGACATTTCTGATAATAATACGAGACTCTGAAAGTTAAACTAGGATTTTCAGCATAGGAAGAGTCAAAACTTCAATCTATATTTATGTTTGTGGACAAGGAGTAATTCAATTTGTTCAGACAGACTCTCTCTTGGTTAGATCTGCTATCAATCTACTGTGCAGAGTATCAGAAATTGTTCAAAAATGCTGCCAAAGTTACAGTCAATTATTAGTCCACATTATTGGACTAATTAGTGGGCTAATACATTTTGCTACATTGCAAAATGAGCTGTCCTCCAACCTGATAGACCAGAGTTGGTGTAACTTTTACTCCATCCTGCTTGGAAGAATAGCTGGATCCTGAAGAATATGTATCCAGAGTATATTTTGCTCTAGAAATCATCACCTTGGCTTCCTGGGCCCCTTACTGGGTAAATTAAATCTAGAGCAGAGTTTCAGTTAATGACTAGCAGCTAAGGCAAGTGAGGTCCTCAAGGTAAAGTTGCTATAGAAGCACTGCCTTAACTAATTGTGTTATTACTGGAAAAAGAATGATTAAAAGCCAGAAGAATTGATTTGGAGCTTTGTGGTCAATCCCTCTGGCACTTCTAAATGGTTTCCTGAATATGAGTGCTCAGAGTATGAAACAGTATGTAATTAATTCCATTGCAAACACCCTCGTTATTGACAAAACATCCACCTTCTGTCTGGACTTTAAAGAGCAAATCTTCTCTCGTAAACTCAGTGTTTGTCTTCTCAAGCTGTGCAAACTATCTGATCAAGTTCGATCAGCAGGTATATTTTTGAGGCCTTCATCTTCATGACCTCTCCTTCTAAAAAAATGTTACATGATGAATTCTTCAATTTTCAACAGTATTCCAGTTTCAGTTTTTTAGCTCATATAATCCCAAGCGTTTACATGCAGTTAGGACACAAGTGAACTCTGCCAATGAAGTGATCCATAGGTGAATGCGAGCCAGTGAAATTAATTGATCACTGTCACAAAATAAGTACTATCATGTCAACTGTTATCAATTACACTCTTTTTTCAGGAAGTATCATATTTTCTCTCCTCTTTTTTGTTTCATGACAGCAGAACATAATAGAAAACCAATTTACCATTCAATATCCCAACAAAACTAGATAGATCCTGAAATGTATTGTTCTTTTAAGTAGTTTCTGTCCATTAAATTACTTAATTACTCTGTTAATTACTTACATTAAGTAATTAACTTACTGAATTAAGTAATTAAATTAACTGAATTAAGATAAAAGCTGAAAGGCATTGTACAATATTGAAATGTAGATATGCACTATCCTTTGAAATTTCTAGTTTTTGAGTGGATAACCTGAGGTGGCCCCTACTGTTTCTGCTACCATTTACCAGGGAAGAGTCTGCTCTTTATGTACCAGGCATTCTACATGTAGGTAAAATAAAACTTTCTGTCTACAATGCTGCTTACTTATGAAAACATAATCTTTTTAATTACCTAACTGCTCCAGAGTCTCATGCAGATATCTCATAGCCCTGAATCAACACAACATTAATAAAAACATATTTTAAACACTTGCATACATCAACTGTAATCACATGGTAAAAGCTGAATGAGGTTAGCCTTCCAGAAGTATAACTGCTGGAATTATCTACTATAAAAGTAGAAACCAAATTTTGCTAATGAAGGACTCCTGTTGCAGCAAGTAGTATTTTTATGTTCATAGGATTTATGGTTTTAATCAGTATTTTCATACCCTCTTGTTTGTGATGTTCCCAACCTCATGTTGTAAAAAAAGACGAGTTTTGTGACTTTTGGATCTTTTAAGGAGGTTCTTAATTGTTCTTGAACTTCTTATCAGGCCAAACAAGATTGAAATGACCTGATTTTGCTTTATCCTTTTTTTTTTTTTTTGGAGTTTTTTTGTTTTATCTTACTCTTTTATACAGCTATCAGTCAGGCATGATTATTAATTTATGGAGAGATTTGTTTATTTATTGCTTTGAGTTTGCTGCTTCGTTAGCTCCTCCATTAAGAAAATATTTTAAAATATATATTTTTATATTAAAGAAGTATTTTTCAAGGCATGTATTTCCTAGCAGATATTGGCTATGATTCGAACAAAAGCACTGATGCAGAGAATATAAAGGCAGATAATTCTGAGACCTTTTTTTGTGCTCACTTCTTTCATGTTACATAATTTATTCCCCTTGCTGTGCATTCTACAGAGGCAGTTTGTGTTGACTGTGTCTGATGTAAACAAAATCAGGTGAAAGCTAATTCAGCATATGTTCATTCAACAGTCTGGGTACAGTAGCATTGGAATAACTGGGGCTGATGCATTCATTCCTCCTGACAGTCTTCAGTTGGGTTTTGGTTTTGCTGACCTAATGAAAGCATTAAATGTGCTCGTCTGGTAGACACGTAGAGAAAGGAAAGAAAACAAGGCAATGGTGGTGCAAGTACTGTGCTAACAGGGACGTACGACTGCACAGTGCAAGATCACATCAGAACACGTAAGATCATGTAGGCGGTGTTGCTTTAATTCATCTGATCATTCCTTTCAGAATCAACCCTCTTCTCTTAACTATTCCCAAGGAATTATATAACTCCTGGTGCGGGGTGCAGTGCCCACGCACCGTCGGAGGCCTCCAACAGCCCAGCCAGGCTGCAGGGCTCCACATCTGATCCGATGAGAAAGCAGCTGCCTGCTCATTGGTTAAAGACTGCCCCAGGGACAGAAACACGAATCAGATTCCCAAACCTGCTCCTCAGCTGCTGCCACACTGCACAGCTTCCATCAGCTTCCACTTCCCAAACTTGCCCAGACATGTCAGGGTATTCGTGCTCAACAGCTAGCTCAGCCTTCTGCTTGTTTTACTTCATGAAATCTAGCTAAAATTCTACGGAAGTAAACAACTAAACCACTGTGCCTGAAATAAGCATGTAGATGCTGCTGCTGCTGCTCTATCTATTGCTCTGCTCGTATGGGGTTGTGGGGATCAAGGAGAAACTTCCCCAGCTGCCTCCACTCAGCTCTTCTTGGAACCATTCGCAAGTTTTGCAGGGACTGAAATACAACCTGAAACCAAGTCAGAAAACCGTGAAGCCGCCTAACAGCAGACCGGCGATAAGACCCGTGAACACGAACTCTGCGCGCGTGCTGAAACGTAGCACGAAGCTCAGCCGAGGCCTCCTTTTCCTCGTGGAAGTGACGTCATTTGAGCGAGCCCCGAGGGCGCCGACGTCAGGCGCGCGCCGGAAGGGGCCGCGCCTCCAAAATGGCGGCGCGCGGCGCTGAGGCGCGGAAGGGGTGTAGTCGGGGGGTTGCTGCGGGCGTCTGAGGGCTCGTTCCGCTCCGCTGCCCGGGGCCGCTGCCTGCGGCCGCGCCGGGCGCCCAGGGCCGCGCCGGGGTAGGCTGGGGGCAGCCGCCGGGGACGCGGGGAGATGAAGCGCTCTTGTAAGCGTCTGAGAGGCTCCTGAGATTCCCCATGAAAAACAAGACCCCTCGAGCACGCAGTGTTGCTTTGCAGGCCTGCACTTTGTTTCAGGATATTGCTTCGTTTTTGTTTATTTTCCTTTTTTTTTCTCTAACACAAGTAAGTAGTTGCTGCGTATCCTACAGATGCAAAGTGTGGCAGTGAGCTAGTAGCAGTTAAGTATGTGACAGTTCATTGGAACATAGTAAAGGAGAGAGTCTTTGTGCATTGCAGCTTTATTGTACTGGACATTAATCTGATCTTCATCTTTAAAAATACCAGTGGAATAATGTTAAAGCAGTATCAGAATTTGACTAAAAACTGTTTGCATTTGTTTTTAGGCTGAATATTCTGATGTGCAAGTTAATGACTTACCAGAGTGTGCTGGAGCTTGCGCAAATACATCTTGCCTGAAAACTCAAACTATGTCCTGAAATTACCTTGTTGAACAAAACTTCACTTGATGCGAATTAATAGAAGAGTAGCAAATCACTTCATATGAGCACTTCCCAGGAGTCTGTTTTGTTATTGCAGATGTCCGTCTCACCAGCTTGGCATGGTGGATGTAGCAGAGAAGGAGATTATGGACAACCTCACGTTTAAAAGCGATACTGTACTCTCTGATGTTCACTTACACTGCCCAAACAGAAGACATCTCATGGTGCGACTGAATGCAGCTGGACAACCGGGTAAAGTGTGTTTTCTAGACTGATGAAACAATATTTTAAGAGTGTTCAGCTTTTTATAATGTCTGAATCCCTCAAGTGGTTGATATTAATCATTACATGCTTTGTTCCGGTTAGAAGGAGAATTGCTTCCTACTCTGTTGTTTCAAAGCAGACTAACCAGATTTGCATCATGATATTAACCAGACAAATTAAACCTATTAATGTAGACTTCATAAGCAGCTCATCCTAAAAAATAAGTCTTATTTATTTTAATCAACTTCTTACAAAGTTCAGAAGAGCAATGTTCTTGAATGTCTGTTACATAATTTGAGAAGTCAAGGCTGTAGAAGAAATGAACTGCTAAATACTTCTGATCCATTGCCTGCCTGTCAAGTTGTCAAGGGAAATGATCTCGAAATGACAGGAAAACGTTGTGTAGAAAAGTACCTCTCCTTTTGCTGTGACAGAAGTGTTAACTGTTGTTTTTTCAAGCCCATTTGTGACATGCAGATTTAACCTCTGTAGTTATTCTGTCACATATCAATGTAAAAAAAGAAATGATTGGAAGAGAAGAGTAGGGCAAAGAGCCTGACAAAGAAGTTAATAATAGTTTTCCTTCATCAGGGCAAGGTCAGGTCATTAATATAGTGGTATGTCAGCATGCTACTTGCCATACCCAGGCTGTGATTTTGTTTGGTGCAAGGAACATTTCAATGCAATGAAATGACAGCATGTAATGACAGGCCTGAAGTTACTTGAATTCCCAAGGCCTTTTGAAGTGGTAAAAAAATAATCTAGTTACTTTTTGCTAGAACATCTTTCTTTCTGTCAAGAATTAAGTGTTAACCCAAAAAACAAACTTTCTGAGAAATAATTTGAAGAAACCAACCATTATTCAAATTGTGAGCATTAATGTTTCTAAATCAGGTGAAAATGTGAGCTGAGTCAAGCGGTAGACTTTGAAAGTTCTTCTTTGTTCCTTCTGTAAGGACTGATTTGTCCTTACAGAACTTAATAGCAGAAACAAGCTACCTGTATCTTTAGTTTTTTAATGTGTGAAACACATATGATCTCATGCATACGGAAGCTGCATAGAGATTCTGTTTTTATTGCAGTGTTAATCTTCAACATATTGTTTTTCTTGTGTTCTTGTAGTATTCTTGTCACATTTCAAGCTCCTTTGGAACACTTATAATTGGGTATCTGAGAAAAATGCAAAAGAAGCTACAACAGAAAAAGAACAGCAGTACAAAAGCAGAGGAGAATTGTGTGACAAAGACAGGAATAATCCAGAAAATGAAAGAGAAGTAAATATTAAAGGATTAGAAGCTCTGCTAGATGATGATGGAGACTTGGAAGTTGTCCGAAGACGTCAGGATGCCTCTGATTTAGAAGAGAAGGATCTTTTGAGGGATAGGGTGTGTCCTGTAATTCTAATAAGAGAGGAAGATGGTGCTTTTGAAGATGAGGAACAAGAACACACTTGCAGTGATGTCATTAAAATAGGTAAGTAGTAGGCTTTCCTTTAAGGGTAAATAGAATAACTATCTGTTATGTGGAACAAAATAAAAATGGATTTTTATTACTTCATAAATGAAACAACAGCTGTCAAATGAGTTGTGATAATAAAATAATTATATAGTATTATGCTGCAAATATACTGTTAAAAACATACTATTTATCTCTAGAAGAGTTTGGGGCAATAGTATAGCAGAGAGACATGTAGCTGACTGCTCCCAGCCTGAGTAAGTTAGACCTGCTGTGCCCCTTGGTTAGGGGGATTTTTATCTTTCTTACATTGAATGAAGAGCTTTAAGTTCTAGATTAAAACGAAAGAAAATGCAGAATGATTTTCAAAGTTGCTGCTATTTAACTTATTTTGAAAAACATTTTAATATACTTATTTCTGCTTTACTTTCATATTGACAGAACATACTATGGCAACCCCTTTAAAAGATGTTGGTAAGCAAGTATGTGTCATCTTTGCGATATCTTGCTGTTCTTGGATTGTGCTCCAGAAGCTGGCCAGTTTATTTGCTTCTCTTTGCTGAAGGTCTGGCGTGGAGCCTTTCTTCTTGCTGATTATATCCTCTCAAAATGGGACATGTTCAGGCGTTGTACGGTACTGGAGCTTGGAGCTGGCACTGGAATTACAAGCATCATTATGGGAACAGTTGCCCAGAGAGTTTACTGCACAGGTAAGACATCTATTTTTTAATTAAGTATTATTCTGAAACTTAATGTAGAAATTTGTGTGAAATTTTTCTGAAGCAGTGCATTCTTCCTGGGGCTCTCACCCTTATTTGTTCTTTTTTGGTTAATAGTTGTTTATTTATGTGTATAAGGTGAGAAAATTCTTGCCACTTTTCTGTAAATAACTCAACAATCTGAAAAAGCAGTGCTACTTTTGGGAGCCAAAGTTTGGGCAGGTTGTTTGTTTGGTTTTTGTTTTTCATATTGGTGTGAATTCAGCTTAATGTTCACAGAATAAAAGAAGTAATTGGTATTTTAGTGGCTTTTTCTTTGTGTGACTCAGAATTTAGTACTGAAAAACAAAGGCAAGAAGGATCCTAGTGAAAAAGTTATTAGAGAGAGTTGCTCTAAATTGTCCCTAAGCTTGAGAGAAGTTGAGAGAGAATTAGCCTGAGAGGTGTGGGCATGCATATAACAAATATTCTCATTTTGGCTGTCATTATCACCTTTTGCAGATGTTGGTGAAGATCTTCTAGCCATGTGTGAACGTAATGTTGCGTTAAACAAACACCTGATTGAGCAGGGAAGTAAGTGCAATACAGTCAGTTTTTGTGCATTTGCCTGTAGGTGGAGTTCTTTGCAATTAAGCAGTACAAGTCATTGACTATCCTACATGTTTACAAGTAAAATTAAACTCTCCTTTTGGTTGAAAGTGACTCGCTTGTGAGTTTCACTGAGCTTCTTGGTCGAATCATAGACATCCAGAGGCCAAGAGAGCTGTTACATTCTGTTACAGCTATTATGTAGGTGGTAGAGGTAGAACTGTGGAATGGGCAAGTATTTTGCAGGAGAGACATGTAAAAGAGAATGTAAAGTGCAGGTCTGCCCCTTAGGTTTCTCCTACCCCGTAAGGGTACAGTATTGTACAATTGACTGTACAATAAACAATTTGATGTTCAGGTTGCCAAGAGAGGTTGTGGAGTCTCCTTCTCTGGAGATCTTCCAAACCCGTTTGGACGCAGTCCTGTGCCACGTGCTCTAGGTGACCCTGCATGTGCAGAGGGGTTTGGACTAGATGACCTCTAGAGGTCCCTTCCAACATTAAGCATTCTCTGATTCTATGATTCAGTCAGGCCCAATGTATCTCATATGTTTTATAATATATCTTAATGATCTGTTCCACCACAGATTTTGACTCTTTACTTCCACTTATGTATCTTCCCCTGCCTCTGTCCCCCTTCTTCTGCCATAGGAAGTGAAATTAAGGTTAAAGAACTGGATTGGATGCAAGCTGACTTCTGCGCTGGTAAGTGGTTATAGTGGGTCCATCCAAATGGTTTCTTGAAAGCCCTCAAGAATGAGTGTCCTAGTACTCCCTGCTTTGAAACGCTAGGTGATGCTCCAAGTGCAAGGTTGTTCCTAGGAGCATTATTGTTGTGTGGAAGGGTTTATGTATTGCATGAGGATAGAGCAACAGTAGTTGTCCTGTACTTTGGGAGGTGCAGACCAGGCTTGTTCATTATATGGCAACAACTTTCTGCTTTTTAGGGTTTCTTTTGTAGCATCATCACAAGATATCTTGATTTAATGCCTTCTGAAAAATAGCTCAGCTATTGAAGCAAATAGAATCATTCTTTACACTTGCAAAAATCTTTGGACTTTAAAAATTTCTGTTTAATGGAAACATTTGATACTGCCTGTAGAACAGGGTATATTTTTAAACTTTCAAGGGAAGCTTCTAAATTTTAACAAAGTCTAAAATTTTAAAAGTATGCCTAAATAGGAAGCTTGATCAAAACGTAGATGGGCTTTTTGAATTTAAAGCAGTATTTATTTTGGTCTAGTTATTCTATTCTATTTAGTCTATTATTTTAGTCTAGTTAAAGTCTGTAATCTTGCTATGTGGTAATAATTGTAAATTTTTATGGCAAGGAAAACTATACTCTTGCCAGTCAGCTTTGGAAGAACTGGATATAAGGGAACACAAGAGGCATCAGGGAATGCCAGAGAATGAATAAGCTGAGGTTTTGATTTACTTTTAGTAGGGTGCTCCATTTATGGAGGAGTAGATAACCTAAGAGAGAACGAAAATATCTCTCTTCCATCTTTCAGGTATTCAATATGGTTAAATCCGTGAGTAAAGCTGTTTTCTTTGTTGCAGATCCTGAAGGTCCTTATAGGTGGTCTGAAGCAGAGATTGCTGATTTGCATGACCACTGTACTGTGATGATGGCAGCTGATGGTAGGAAATGCAAACAGTGAGCTCTTAAATGTTTAACTCTCATTTGCAATAATTTAAACATACCTGTGTTGCTCTTAAAATGCAGTACATAGATGATTGACGTGATTTGTCAAAGCTCTGACTTAAGTATTTATGTCTATCTTATAGTTTTCACTCTTAAAAAAGAAGGCTGCCAATTCAGACTGCAAATGCAAACAGGATGAAAGATCTTCAAAAGCCTAGCCTATTCTTTCCATTGTAGTTTAATGATTTGTAACCAACTAAATTATTCCAACATAATTGTCACAGGCAAAGAAGTCCTATGTATGAAAAAACAATTTTCAGGTGCTGCAGTTGCCCAGAATCTGTCCCTTTGAATGTTTGTGCATTTCTATTCTGTTTTTCACCTCGGTGAAAGACTGAGAAATGAAGAGCTAGCTAATCTGTATAGGAGAACCATTGTGGTTTTGATATTCAATGGTATTTCAATTAAAGAGTTTCTCCTGATTGGTTTTCAGTTATGGCATTGAAAGATGTTGTGAGACTATTTTCGAAAAAGAAGTTATAAGGTGCTAGTGGTATTACTTACTGCCTTTTTTTTTTTTCCCTTAGAAATGAGACCTTGTGAATTATGATATCCAGGTGTTTTTTTTTTAGCTTTGCAGTAAGGTATTTCCAGGATGAAAGATCTTGTTTAAGTTATATAAGTTGTCTGATACAAGTGATTCCCATTGGCCTGCGAGAAACCTTAAAGAAGGCTTGATGTAAAAAGCAGCAAGGGATCCTATTACAGAGTTGGTTGTTGCCATTAGAATATAATGCTGTGGGATTTAATTGAAAATAGTGACACAAAGTTTTTGATTAGAGAAATCTAATTAAAGGCTGTTATTGTTTCTTACATGAGGTTTAAGTAAATATTGCATTTGAATGTCCATACTGCAATGCTTTTACTCTTTTTATCATAGTGTTCTATGATGATGACCTGACAGATGCCTTGTTCAGAACACTCTATAGAATCACACATAACTTGAAAAATTCTTGTGCAGTTTACTTATCAATAGAAAAGAGGTAAGTAATATCAAGAACATAAATAAGCAGTAAAAAAAATTCTACACTTTCTTTATTTGGAAGAAAAATCTGATTTGCTTGCAGGTCAGCTTTGAATTTTCCTTTCACCAATTGAGCAAAAGCTGCCATATCTATTTGCAGCGAATTATTTTTAATACTTGCTTGATTTTTATGCATTTAGAATTTGAATTTCAGATGAGTTGATTTTCTATTTGTCTTGCATCATATAGATAAGTCTGCAGTTGTAGACCAAAATCTTCTGTAATACCAATAAAATTTATTGTGTATTTGAGATCAAAGATTTAAAGGGTTTTTTGTTTGTTTTCTTGAGTAATCGTGTTTTTTAGTACGTTCATAAATACATTAATATTCCTTATTTAATTCTCTGGGGATGTGTAAGCAATAGCCCTTCATATTGTTCTTTTGGGGCAAACTTACCTACATCAAAGAGTTATTGGTGTGCTAATCTTAATTAAATCTTGATAGTCACAAACAAAACAAAATGGTAAGATGAACTAATAAAATTAGTAAATGACACATTTTCCATTAGCTTAGGAAAGTTACATAGCTATTTAAGATGCAAGTGTAGCAGAGAAACTTCTGATGAATTATTTTCTTGCCAGGCTGAACTTCACTTTAAGACATATGGATGTTACATGCGAAGCCTACAATCATTTTAGAAATACTCTAAATGATCTGGAGAACCTCCAAGATGGAAAAATTAAATATACTGTGGAGCCTATTAAACTTGATTTCTGCCAATTTCTCATTTATGAACGAACTGAGCAGTTGGTAAGTGATATTCATTAAAATAAATGTAATGTGTCGGGCTAATTATCTCAAATTAGTTTTCTGCTATTTACTTAACATGAAATAAGAACAGAAGAATAAACATCACCTATTTATTTCTGTTAAGCTGTTACATAAAGATTTCTTGTTCGTGCTTAGAACTTATATAAGATTTTCATAACATGCCCTCTCTATCACTGAGCAATATAATGACTTAGGTTATTTGTTAACCTTTGAGGAGGTGAGTTCAATCTGCATTACCTTTAGAAAACAGAAATTTTGAGCTTGACTGGAAAATGGGACCAATATCTCTCATTTATTTGCTTGTAGAAGAGCTCTCATTTTATACTGTAGTAGTTCCTTTAGAAACATTCAAGACAATTAGCTCTAAAATTCTGTTATCCAGAAATTTCTGGGGAATGAGTAAGTGGTCTTTTTCATTTTTTGTTGTCCTGTAAAGTGAGAAGTGTCTAAGAAAGATATACTTGTGAGAGCTGGAGTCCTCAGTAAATTGAGGATTTAGGGGGTTTGTTTGTTTTTATTTTTTGTTTTTTTTTTTTTTTTTGCATTTTTTTCCAGTCTTATCTTTACAGGCATTGTTTAAAGCATCTGTCAACACAAGCTGAGAAAAAGAGCAAGATTCTTAGCCCAAACTGCTGAAGACATCCAGATTAGTTAAATTATTTCCATAAACGGGGATTTCAATTATGTTTTTTATTTAAAAATATTAAAGTATAAAAACTCACCTGTATCTCAAAGATATATTCTAAGATTTACTATGCAAGTACAGGGTGTGGCTTAATTTGTCTTAGTGTGGGTGTTGAACTTCTATTCATAATCACCATCTACTGATCTGAGAAAATACATGTGTGTATTTTTCTCTTTTACAGGAACTGTGGAAGGTCATTGCTGAACAGCTGACATGACTGGGACAAGAGAAGAATTGAAGATACTTGGACAAAAGATAAAGGCTTTTTGGATGCTGTATTAAAAATGGATTCTTGTCCCAAGAAAATGATTTTTTTCTGGGGGAATCATGTTCTTGGAAAGAAACTTCAAGCAATGATTGCTTATTTCAATAATTTATTTTTTGACACTTTGGACATGGTTTCTCTATTGCTTTCTGTTAGGAAAGTATTTAACACTGATCCTCAGAGTACAGCTCCAAAACAAATTTCATTAGTTATACCATGCCTGATAATACCCCATAGTGTTGCATCCTGAACTGTGGCAAGCAGGGGGTACTGTGTGTTCTTTAGGTTTTGTGATTTAGTTCTTAAAATCTCACAAGAGCTATCTAACACTTTTCCATGCAGCTGGTTTGCAAATGTATATTTTCATTTTTAGCTTTCTGAACTTGCATGCTGTTTCCAGTCTCAAGCCAATTCCACGTTATTTATATTTATAGACCTGTTTGAAACTGTCTTCGGGGCAAGACCTAGTTGTCTTTAACAGACTCTTATTTCTTTATCTTCATAAATGAATTTCTTAAAGTACAGTCTTTCATTTTCTGTTTGTCCTACTAATATCATTCTAGTTTAGGGCTACTGCCTTATTTGAAAGGAGACAAAATGCAGTTAGGTTTAAGTGTCTAAGAATGTCTTGTAGGTATGTTTTCCGACTGGCTTTTTAAGCTATTTTGCTCTTGCTAGGCTGAAGGTGGGAAGATTTCCTACCAAATGACTTGATTCCGTTCTTTAAATGTCACAACTTCTACCCTCAGGATGTGTGAGGTTTGGGAGCAGCAGATAACCGGTGTCAGGAATGTCTCAACCTCGCAGATGGAGCCGTTTGTGTCTTGGCTTTTGGATTAAAGTAAAACATATTAATCAAATCTCTCCCGAGTAATTAAAGAAGCCAAAAATCATAACATTTGTATTTTATATTTTGAATGCCTACTCTTGTATTATATTACTTGCCACATACACACTTAGTGAAGCTTTTTTTTTAAGCTTTACGAGAGTGTTAATAATAAACATAATCTATAACTTGAATATAATGTATAGTGTGGGTAAAAAGTTGGAGTATGCTAGACACTCAGTTCATATAGTTTATGGAAAACTCAAATGACTCAGGAGGTTGGACAGTCTTGGACTATGAGCTACTCAAAAAGAATTTGCACAATTTGTTGTGAAATATTGAAGAAACCTTTTGGACTATTCATATACTTCTTTTTCTCCTTTTGTCTAGAAAGAAAATAAAAAGGTTTTGCTTTTGTTAGTAAATTACTAAGTATCTCTGTCAGTGTCATTCACTTCTGCAAGTTGTTTACTTCTGCGAAGAGGAAGAGAATGTGCACACTGATTCTAAAATTTGTTACTATCTACTGTTCAGGGGGGTCGAGATTGAAGAAGTTTCATTTAGAAAACTGACTTTCTACAGTGCCAAATTAAGCCATTCTGCACTGGCGATACTTTCAAATCTGTAGCCTGGATGGTCAGCAAAATGGATTATGCTGGAGAGAGATAAAAACAGTGGGAATGGGAAAAACCTAAACACTTTTGATGCACTAATTTCTGATAGAAAAAGAGTATAACTTTTTGGGAAAGACGGAGAAGTGCATATTGGAAGGACACACTATCTTCCACTAGGAATTCATATTTGAAACAAATTGATTTTCCTTCTGTGTCCCTGGTGTATAGTGATGGAATACATATGCTTTCCCAACTGCACTCTTCAGATGAAGATTCCAGCACTGTTCTGGAATCACTGTTACACTTTCATCTCGCAAAGTGAGAGGATTGTGGATAACATAATTCTAGATATTGATCAAAAGAAGAACTTGATCTACTGTGTGACAACCTTACCTACTAGTAGTGCTCATTTTATTTCTTTGAACTCTGTTGATGTGGAACGTAGAGAGCTACTTTGTTGTGAACCTGCTTGTGTATCATTTTGTAGTAGAAAGCAAAGTTATTTATGATGCAGCTGCATTATCTAATGCATTATGTGTATTATCACTATTTGTTCTCATGTGTAGGTGGCTGTTTATAGACCATTCCTGCAGCTCCATCTGTTGTGCAACACTCTGAGTCAAAACATTTTTTCCACAGTTTGTTAAATATCATGTTCCTTTTGGAGAAAAAAAATGTTTTTTTAGCAATATTTTACTAAGAATAACAGTTTTCAGCTTCAGTATGTAAGACTGCATTTTAATGATGCTAATGTGTGTTTTAGAGATTAAATGATCATGAAAACAAGCGTGGAAACAGGGAGGTTTAGTAATCACCTTTGAACAGTATTTTAGAGCACAGCCTCCAACGGCTTGGAATTTCCAGGAAATGTTCCAGGGAGGGGTGGGAACAACTTCCTTGTGTGTGGTATGGACTTGTAATTCATTAAAGATAAGGTTTTAAATTGGAATTTATAAAGTTTTATAGCAAATCTGTTCCATGAGAGTGTTCCTCCAGTGTTTCAGCTTGATTGCTCTGGTGGATTTCTAATGAGCATTAGCTCCAATTATTTTTAGTTTTCATCAGAGGCTTGAGGAGTCTAATCATGATAGTTCTAATTTTCTCTCTTCATTCTGCTAGTACCTGAAATTTAAAGAATTTTATGTATTTGAGATTTCTAGCCTCTTCCATGTTAGGATCAATAAGCCAAGGAACTCCAGGGTCTTTCCCTAAGGAACCAATGTAATGCTTGAGCATTTGTAGTAGGTGCTACAAGTAAATGAGTGACTATTTCACTGCTAGGGTCACTTTGGCAGTGAGTTAAGTGCATGTTAGCAGTGGCCATACAGTACTAAATTATTTTTGTGAGCATTCAACATGCTACTTTTAAACAGGGATCTACTTCTTGCTAGAGGTCTTGGATAATGTAAGTTGGGTTTTTTTTTAGTTATTGTATTTCACTTGGTGCTATACATACAGAATGAATTGCTTACAAGGTAGAATAAGGAGGATTACCCGAAGGAATCAAGAAGAATCCTAGAAAGCTTGTGTGGAGATTCCTGAAAAGTAACTGGGGGAATGGGGAAGGAATGGCAGTGAGAAAGAAAATAATAGATCTGGGGACTGAGGAAGTGAATTCTCGGTTTTATTCCAGTTGTGCAATTGCCTCGTTCTTTGCTTTGAAAAAGCTGTGCTAAAAAGAAGCCTTTTAATTTGTGCAAGTTTTGGCTGCCCGTGTTTGAAGGGCTTGGACGTGAGAGAAAGACGAAGCGAATGGGTCCTGGCTGTAGGTGAATCACAGCCTGGACTTCTGAGCTGTCAGCACTAGAAGCGTACGCAGTATGTTCTTCTCTGGCTGCAGCTGAAGGCTGCTATTTTATATTATGTTTTTTTTTTGGGGGGGGGGCGGGGGGGGGGGTACTGGATTGGGAATTTTTTTTAAATGTTTAGAAAAATGCTTTTGAAGAGCAATTCCATTCTCGAGTGTGATTATGGTATTGATAAAACTGAAAAATACTTTTTCAGCAAAGACGAGCTTGTCAATAGATTAATCCCCAAGTTTAGGGACTGAAAATCTTGTTAGGACCCATGTAACACAAAACTGGAGAAGAAATGGCATTGAGCAACAGCCCTTCTCCATTTCTTCCTGCAGTCTGTGTTGATAAACTACTTGCCATTAATTAGTTTAATAGAAAACATCAGGTTCTAGTTTTGAATGGGATCTGCCAGAGCTGCTACAAAGAAGCTGTTTTTGCAGGTTCAAGGCAAGTAATAGCATTTGAAAAGAAACTGCTTTGTACTGCTTGTCTATCTATACTTGTCCACTTGGCGTAGGTCAAAAGGCTTTTATTTTCTGGTAGACTGCAATTAATAGGACTTTATCCTGCTTCTGTTTCACTCCTCCTGACCTTGCCTGTCTGTGGGTTCCTATCTGAATCTGTGCTAGAAGATGGTGCATCAAGAGGCTAAAGGTTCCTCTTGAAAAACATGGCCTTTGTAGGCTGCCAAAGAGCACAGTCACATGGAGTGGCGCAGCAGGTTTCCTAGGAGGGAAGCCTACCAAACCCTGAAATACTCCCTCAGAAATAGCTTGCACAGCAATTCCAAACTGTCTTGGGTTGCAGGAGGGGAAAAGTGTATCTCATGACCAAATTCCAAGCTTAAAACCAAGAAGCATGGACATACTGCCTGCTATGTACTATCCCGGATTCACAAAATTGGGATTTTGCTATATTACACTGAATTAAAACTTTTCTACCATGTTCCCAGATTTAGTAACCCAAGGAGAAGCACAATTATATGTACTCTGACCTCCTCTTTAACATAGAATTTCTATTAAAAAAATCCAATCATTTGTTTTATCTATAGTACATTTTCCAGGAAGTCATTCAGCCTTCAGTACAAAGAGACAACTCATGGCTCTCCTTGGCAGCTTGTTCAGGTGGTTAATCATCTCTCATGGTAAACACTTGTGGTGCACTTCCAGTTTGAATTGCTTTGTTTTCGACTTCCAGCTTCCGGGTCCTTGCTACCAGGGCCCATGTGAGAATATAAGCAGCTTGGAAAACTGTGTAAGATGACAACATGCAAAAGCAGGAAAAATAGGCCAGATCTCAACTGCCTAAATTCAGTCCATAGCAGAATTTCCCTGTGTAACAGAATACTGAGCGTTCGTCCATTAGATATTGCACACACTTTTGCACACACTTTTGGCTCTTTCCATATCATGAGCTTCTAAATATTTCATAGTCCTTTAACTGATGAATAGCTTATGGAAAATAAACCTTCCTTGTCGTGCACAGTTGATATCCAATGGGTGCAGGTTTACCAGGACCACATTTAACAATAAAATTATTCGGTTTGTATTTTATCATCAGATACTGTCCAAATAGCTTGTTTTTCTTAAAGCTAAAGGCTCCAAAGCTGCTTTAGGTCATGAAGAGAAGGCTTTCCATTTCCATAGCCATCAAAGAAGATACAGACTGAAAAGAAAATGGGCTATATCATCTTATGCAGCTGGCCTATATTTTGATTCTTCTTGTTTTTGTTTTGGTTAACCTTGTCTATCTCAAAACATGTGAATATAAGAATTGCATTTCT